TGATGTGTTATGTACTGGGGCAGGACATGCAAGATCGGGACCGGGGACTGGGACAGGCACAGCATCAAGACTGCAGAGTAAGGCCAGGACACAGCATCAGATGGGTGGAGAGAAATGGTGGCATGCAAAAGGAACAAAAAAAAAATGCACGCTGCCATCTTGCATGAATCTGCATCAGCCTGACATGCGCTTGGCAGCTGTGACGATAGGACACCGGGAAGTGGCCCTGCCGTTTTCTTGTGCATTGCCACACTGCTATGCCTGATGCAGCTTCGTGTTGTCAGTACCGATCATGGCATCTGGGGACAAGTGTGTTGCCACCACATCTGGGTCAGGGGGCGCCAAACCAGCTGCACCTGGCACCAGCGCCAAGCAGCACACACTTGTCAAGGTGTGTAGGGGGTAGATGGGCCTGCGCCGCTGCCCTGGCCACAGAATGTGCCCTAAAAAGCAGCGCCAATGAATATTGGCGAGACCAGTGAGGCCCATGGGTGGCTGGTGCAAACAGGCGAATTGCGTTGATGCAGCCTGAGTGCACCTACTTGCCATTTGGCTTCCATCATATCACAATCACCGCTGCGATTGGAAGGCGAATTAGTTACGTGAGAATGATCACCTTGAAAGTATGGTGGAAGCTTTGCCTATTTGACCAACTGCGGATTGCACAGCCAGATTGCGATTCTGCAGAGCTCAAATAAGCTGCCTCGCTGCTTGGAATCCACGGATCCTGGGCAGCCACGATCGTTCTGTCCACCAATGCCATGCGTCTATTGAATGCGGTCACAAATCGTGCTCAGGGGTTCTGAAAGGTCGCAAGAATGCATTGCACATATTGGCTGTCGGCATAGGCCGATAAGCGACCAAGAACTCGAAGGTTTGCAGTGCTCTCTGTTATACAGCAGAAGTAATTGTTGTGCAGAATGTCGCATGTCAATTGGCCATACTCCGAGTGGCTTTGTCAGGCTCTGATGCCACCATGGTGATACCGAGATCTCCAGGTGGAGCATGAGGACTTGCTTCTGTGTTTCGAGTTCTGTGTCCTTGTTGAAAAGCATCAGCCAAGGGTCGGGTCGTGTATGGAGAACCCACTAACCAACGCCTGCCTTCAGGGCAGACTCTGTAAATAGTGTGTACTCTTCCTTCTACAAGGTTCTCGATGCCCCAACTCGGCAATGTTGCCCTCTACCACAGCTGTCCTCTTGACTCCGGCTGCGTACTCCATTGGTTTGATGTGGTCATGGCACCTGGCAGTGTACAAACTGCAACCACAGATAGCTTTACATGTATTTTCCAGTAACTGCACTGATCAAAAGGTGCTAAATTGCTGACCTTAACTGGATATGTCAGTAGAAGACACCAAGGTAGCTAGGGGTAGCGATGTGGGCACGTTTATTCAAAGTCCAGCATCGGCAAGACAACATGGAGACAATGTATCGCCTTGCCATTGCCTCTGGTTGACGGGGTGTTGGAAGTATTGCCCTCACCTAGCCCCTGGCCATCCCTGGCTGTTCCGGTTGTGTGGCATATTCACACGGCTTATAGCTGATAACTGTGGCTGCAGGGTGCAGCAACGAGAACCAGTGATGCTATGCAGGGTTCCAGGACGCCTACCATGGGCGACAAAGTTGGAGAGGTGGGCCATGCAGCTGCTCGTCGTGTGCTTGCGCCAATGTCTATGTGTTAGCTGGCCTTGACTTGCTGCTTCCCGTGCGGCACTTGTATTGCGACTTCTTGACCTGGGCACAACAAGCTCTGTGCAGCTCGGCTGATGATTAGGGGGATTTGTCTCAGCTGTTCCGAAATGGCAGGTTCACATCCTGACACAACATTGCTCAAGGTGCAGGTGCGGAGGCAGCAGGCTCAGCACATACAGGAAATCCGAGAGATGGAGAGACAGGAGCGGGACAAGGTGTGCTGATCAACGAGCCGGTCGCCACAGCCAAAAATATCTGTTGTGATATGTGTTACTCGCAAAAGCCTGCTAAACGGGCCTGCACCCAACATTGTCGGATGTCAAGCTGATTATCTTGGTTATTGCAGACTTGCAACACACTGTACTGCAGCTGCACTTGTTGGAACAATGCCATGCGGGGCGAAAAGGAAGTCTCCACTTGCAAGTGGCGCCTACGTACCGACCATGTCCCTAGTGATATGGATCCCATGTTGACCAATGCGATGCAGTGTTCTAGCAGTTGCTCACCAGCTGGTGCGTTTTCAAAATTGGCGATCTTAGGCGGAAGAGCTCAAGAAACAGGACGCAATCCGCCGTTTGCAGGCCTACAACGAGCGTGAGAAGCTGGCACGCATTGCAAACGAGGAAAAGCGAAAGGCTGACGAGAAAGTGAAGGATGAGGAGAGGGCTACAGAAGAGGAGCGAAAGAAGAAAGAGATGTATGACATCAAGGTGGGCGATTGGTGAGCTGACTCTTCATTGTCAGCGCAGCCTTCCTGGTCTTCTACTGTCTTGTTTGTCTTGTTCTCTGTTTGCTGCATGGGAATCCAGTGTTCGCAATCCAACGTTGCTAGGAGTCTCTGTTAATGTGGGTTGACGCTCTGGTGTTTGTTGCCCTCACGCTAGAGTTTTGCTTGTCTGTGCAGAACTATCCAAGAACTGAAGACTTCTGTAAGAACGAAAGCCTTGGTGAAAATTTGTGGAGCGGAGCTGCACACTGGGCGTCACGCTGCAGAGGATGGGCTTTAAACTCAGGTGCAGAGAGACTGAGTGGGTAGAGGACATAGAAGAGGAGAAGGAGGGCGGCGAGGTATGACTAGTTATATGAACGACTCCGGCCCCTTCAGTGGCTGATATAGTGAACAGTGGCAATGCAGGGCGGCTGAATTGGATTCAGATGTCGACTGCGGCTCCCTTACTGGCTGATACATTGCACCGGGGCAATAGGGGTTGTCTGGGAGGAGGCAGTCGTGGGCACAATGAGCTGTTGACACAGGCAATTGTAGCAGATGTTCAGTTGCCGCCGCCGCCACGTGCTTTCTGTGATTCTCCTTCAACGTTGTCGCTGCCTACCACCTGCGGCTGACAGATGTTGAAATGGAAGTGCCAATGAAGATGAGTGACGTTCCACATATTGGGACAGCTAACGCAATTGCAGCTCAGTCGCCAGCCTGGTGGGTCGGATGAAATCCTCAGCGATGCACCATGTGACACTTGCCATCAACTCGGAAGATGAAGTGTACACGCGACACTCCCCAGCAGCACCACCACAGCCCAGGCACCCATTGAAGATGCCAAAGTTGTTAACGTGGTTCGCGTCATGGACGAAAAGAAGGGCGAAAGATTGCGGAGCGAGCACAAAGCACAAGCCATCGTCCCACCAGCAAAATTGTCTGTCATTGGCCTGCCCCGGGAGTTGCAACGGTCTGATTGTTGTGTCACCTCCCACGGTCCTCGTTGATAACCTCAGACATCATCGAAACGCATCATGGGATGCTGACACAACACGGCTCCACCACCTCGTCGGCCTGCTGACCGGATTCCGCTCAGACCCTCGTAGTTGAGTGCTGGGAACCTCGACAGGTTGGCACAACACAAGTTGTGCTGCGAGGCCGGCTCTGACAGGGTGTCAAAGGTGCAGGATTGATTCACCGGAACAAGGGAGGCATTCGTGTCGACATCTCGGACCCCCTCTGGGTTCGAAGGAAATCGCGTCGTAGCAAGCATTCACCCACGTCTGGATGTTCCTTCTCATGGCACGTGAAAACGCGTTTGTTCGTCAACGACCTGCTCCTCCACGCCCTCAGTATGGAAGTGGCCTCCCATAAGCGAGGCGGTTGCCCAGGACCACCACGCATGTACGCATATATGTACGCATATACGTATATAGCGTATCATGTAGATGTGGCTGCATAGGGTGCTGCACGCCACTCTCTCTGGGCCACTGTTGGATAGGGTTGACATCATCCCGAGGGGGCCATCTTGGACCACAAAGCTGTTGCGACCCGGTCTATCACGGTAATAGCGGCCTACTTTGGGTGGCTAGCACGATGCCTAGACTGGGTTGAAACAGCTTTGTGGTCCAAGATGACAGGTTGATAGTATCACCCCTGACTGGTGCTGGGGTTCCACAATCCAACCACATTCGCACATGGACAGGTGTCTTGACCCTGGCGTCCGCGAGCCACTGATCTGACCCCAGCCAAAGTATAGACACCGTGGAGCTGACGACACGGGTATGCGCTTGAAGGAAATGCACTTGTGTCCGGGCTCTACACCTGCTTGGGTTGTCATGGGGCAACACTGTTGCATAAGTGTGCCGGGGCCAATCGCAGGTGCGGGGGGGAGATATGATGGCACGTTGGTGATGAACGGCTGCACAGATTTTGAAGCATCCCCCAACAGTGGTGGCCAACATTCCAAAAGAAAACGAAAAGAGCTCGGGCTTATGAAAGCACCAAAAACTGGCAGTCAGGTTTCACAAAGCCCGAGGACAACCGTTGTTCATTGCAGGGACATACATCCGGATATGATGTATACAGGGATCCCAATATTGCTTCAGTCCCTGTAGCTATCTTGACCATTCTGATGTCATTGCTAGTGCTTCGGTTCATTCCACGATGTCAATCTGTCTCTTTCTGAGAAGCTGGCAGCAGTTGCCCCTTTTCCGCTTTCACGCCATTTGCTTCTTTTGAAATGCCATCCTTGAAACTTTCACCAATCGAAGTGGCTGTTCTGCGCATAATAGAAGGCGCTGTGAGCACCCATCGCCAAACCTGTGCCATTTTCACGGTACCTTGTTGCCCCGTTTTGTGACACTGCACTGGTGAAATGCTCGCGTAATCCAGGTAGTGAGGTCTTGAGATAATTGACAATGAAGCAAGGCAGATTCTGTCGAATGGCTGTATCACATTTGTTAAACAAAGCCCATCGCCATCGAGAATGTTGCTTGTCAATGCAAGGGGTAGTTGTCAGCTCCCTATTTGCCTAAAACAGGAAGCGCCCATGATTTGCTAATTGAAATGCAAAGTACTGCACGAACGGGATCCAGGATCCACCTATTCCCAATTTCGTCAAGGAGATTGTTGATGATAATGCATTGGGAGAAATGTCTTTGCAAGAAGGCCAGCGGGTCCAGAAGCAAAAGTTGATTAACCACTGCTGTGGTGCAAAAGGCACGAGTGTCTGCCATGTATGCCATCCTAGGCACGGCAGGAAAAGAGGCATTTACATCATGTTCGGGAGCTGAGTGACACAGTGGACGCGAGCGGCTCGAGAATTCCGGAATAGATTGAGTGGTTGATGTCGTTGCTGCTCGGCTATCAAGAGCGATTCCCACTGCGAAAGCGTACGAAAGGAGATCATCAACAAGATTGGTCGTAATGTTTTCAGAAATCATCCACATCTGTAGACTGGCTTGATGAGTCTGTACGTGCGCCGCATCCTAGAAGATTGGCTTGACAAAATGTTGCCAGTGTGAACTTATTGTGGATGTCCTCCTTCGCAAGAAAATCAGTGCCCGAGTACACCTCGAAACAAAATCAGGGCCTGATTCTTGCCTGGCCAGAATTTGTGCAAAATAGCAGCGATGCGTCCACACAATGACTGAGGATTGGCTGCAAAGTGCTGAACCCCTGACAGAAAGGTGACTTCATTGACTTCACTGGACTTCCGCCATTCGATTCCAGCATCGCATCAACTTTTCTCATAGATAAATCTTCTAAGGAACCCCCCATCTCCGAAGAGGTAACGCTGTGGATTGACTTATGCCAGCACTGCTTCGGTCAAGTCTTCATACTCGCCTTGTCTAATTCTTTGATTACCACGAACAACTTGTTCGAAGAAGATTTCCTGATGGAATGTTAAACGCGGTTCGGGCCTCAACTTCTTGTCAGCTTGAGAGGAGATTGGGAAGAGGGGGCGCAATGGCACAATCAAAACTCGCCAAGGATGAGATACCAAGGTGGGAGTTGGAACTTGCTCGGTACCCATCCTTTCACTTGTGGGTGGATAGTTTTAGTCTGCAGTGAATGCCCGAACTGGGGATGTCAAGGCCCATGTCAGAGGGCATTCATTGTCAGGCATGTCAGCCTACTGCCGCTCTCAGCATGTGCACACGAGGGTGCAGATCTCCACACCCATCCACAGACCGAGCCCCTCCCTCCCAGCCCCACCTCTACAAGCAACGTAGTTCCCTTTCTGTATCAATGCCCCCCGGTCTTGCAAGCAAATTTAGGATTCAACATGGAGATCATGGAAAGCCAACAGGTCATTGTCAGAAGGCATGCAGCCGATCGGTACTGGAGGATGCGCACGCAAGAGCGCGACTCTATCTGCGACATTGTGTGTCTAAAACGAGTGATGTCAGCTTGGAGCTGCATGATCAGGATGTTGGGGACACGGTGTTCGATTGAAGGAGAAATTCAGCAACAATATGTGTATGGAGTGGATTTGATAACATCGAGTTGATGCTGCTTGCACTGAGATGTCAAGTTGTGTGAAAGGGCATTTGCATCTGTGCTCCTTCTAAATTAGAAGGTCAATTAGAAGTATTAAATACTGAATCAAAAATAATTTGGTGCCGTTGTTAGCACCCCCTGCGCTGTCTGCCATGCCCTCCGCACTCCACAACACATGCTGTGTTGGATAACGTGAGGTGTGCCATCCAAGCGGAGAGCCCCTTCCCCCGTGCTATTTACACCCCCCGCCCTGTCCTCCTGATCCACGGTTTCATGCCGGAGTCCGCAACGCCATATGATGTCAAGATGGCATGGAATTAAACCCAGCCCGTCGAGGGATGAATCCGGCCCCAGCCCCCCAATGTAGGTCCTCAGCACCGGCGCACGCTTCCAGTCGCATTCGGGCCTCAGGAATCGAACAACAAACGCATGTGATGCTTCATTGCTGCGGTTGCACAACCTCAGACCCGGCTTCCGCCCAGGCCGCTGTTTGCAAACAGAGTCTGGGCAGCGCTCCCGATATATCGCTATGGGGGGCTCAGCCAGCCGGGCCGTCGGCCGCCGCATGAGGGCGCCCGCCCAGCAAACGCCGCCGCCGGCCTCCCCGGCGCCGGCCAGGCACCCAGCCGCGGCACCTGCCCCCGATGCCATCGACGAGAAGACGTCGCAGGCGCTGGGCGTCGGCCCCAGGGACGCGGCGCTCGACGCCAGGGTCGCGGACGTGATGAAGTCGATGTCGGGGCACAGCAGGAAGCTCCTCGACGAGGGTCTGGAGCGGGATCTCGCGGGGAGGCGGCGCCAGAGGGAGCAGCGCCTGCAGGAGCGGCTGGCGGGCAGGGTGACGACGACGACGATCAGGGGCTTGTGGAGGGAGCCGTCGGTGGGGGGGGAGGGGGGCCCGGACAGGGGAGGCGTGGGGAGGTTGGCCGCGGAGATGGGGGTGGATGGGGATCTGCTGTGGAGCCTGGTGCGCCACGCGCGGTTGCCTCCCCTGAGGCAGACGCACGCCGGGTACCTGATGGCCGACCAGTGGAAAGGCGCCGGGGAGTCGAGGACGTGAGGAGAGGGTCGGTTGGCGTGAAGATGCAAACGGCGACTCGCGGCGGCGCGGCGCGAATGCATGGCATCCACGGATGCCATGCGACGTGTGCAAATCGAGGCCGGCGCCAAAGGGGCGGTGAAGTGCAGAAGTGGTCTGGGAGCGTTGGGAGCAGGGATGTTGTCCCAGGCTGGGACCCGATCGCGTGGCGCCGATCATGGCCCTGGATTGGGGCAGTCGGCTGGCCACCCCTTGGACGGCGTTTGGCCTTCCAAGGCAAAATCAGTCCTATTGATCCTAAATGGCGATGATGGGCGCCTGTGCTTCGGAAATGCTTGTTTCCCCCTTATTCCCCCATCGACGAGGCTGTGCCTTCAAGGCTCAGGCAGCGTCTGATCGGGCCATTGATGGCGAGTTCATTCTCTCTGCTCAGGCGGTGTGCTTTCCAAGGGTGTTGATGCCACCCCTTTGCCAAGAAACGGGCGTGGGGCCAGGCAGGATGCACACTGCCAATTTCGATTGGCGCCAAAGAGCGTGAGGCCTGCTCAACTTCGCCAGGCGCCATTAGAATGTGAAGCCAGCATGTTCCTTGGTACCTGGGGTGCGCAAGTGGCTGGAGATGGCAGTCAGTTAAGTGATATCTATAGGCAGGAGAATGAGAGGTTGCGTCACTTGCACCATTCTGCCTGTACCAGAACAGTTGCACAGCCAATACGTCACTGGGAAATCGATTCCATTGATCGTTTCTTGCTGCAGGGAAGATGAGCACAGCACAGAAAAATGAATATGGGTAGCAGACCCATGCTCTGATTTGCTCCATCAATTTGCTGTCTGAAGGAGGATGGACACTTCTGGGAAAGGTGCCCGCGCAGTAAGGAGGTTTGGGTCAATGCCACTATAAGAAGAACTTGTGTTGTGGCAGCTTGTCAATACAGAGGGAACGCGGGGGGTGCGAATATCCATTGACATGTTGCTGCCCCAGAAGTGCAAACAATAACGGAAGTTTTTCTGTCATAGATGTTGGACAGAAGGAAGCAAATGCCAGACGGTGCACCGCTTTTGGTCGCAAGTATTTGGTGTGTTCCATGAAATCTTGTGGCAATCATTACTATCTGCTTTGTATCAATGTTTGTTATTGAGGAATGAGGGAAAGGAGGCCACCTTGCGCTTCACCTCGCCCGTATCTGCATTAATTGCGCCGATCACAATACAACAGATGGCTGTCATAGGACCTGTTGTGCCGAATAGGAAACTGCTCTCACCCACAAGGGTTTGCTCCCATGTTATGTCTGTGTCTGTGCACTGAATTTGTAACAATGAATTACATCTGGTTGGCTGTGCCACTCTTCTGCTGAGTTGTGTCCTCCCTCCTGTGGGACAAACTGCTGTGAACACACCATTAGCAAATGTACAGTACCACATTGCTGAAAGGGATCAGAGCGGACTGACATGGAGTATGTCATGCTGTGTGGGGATCTTGGGATGCAAGCGAGTGGCTGATGTATGCCAGCGATATCCACATGGCCTCCTCTGTCCTTATTGTTCTGCTACCCTGCTTTGGGCAAGTGTTCAGGTACATATCGAAGAAGTCCTCTGGTCTCTTGCCTTGGCATCTGACATCCGTTTCACAGCAGCGCTCCAGTCCCTGAGGTCCCCCAAATCCCACAATGAGGTGCTTGAATGCTGGGAGCTGCAACTGGGCCACAGGCACCTGCTGACGCACAGCAGCAAGGTTGGGCACTGTCTACACATCTTGGACAAACACATGTGAGGTTTCATCACTGCCGTTGTGTGAGCAGTCACATTGTGGTGGCAGCAGCCATGAACTCCTTGCCGACTGCTCACTACTTGGCTCATATTGCAAGCACATGAATAGTATGTCCAGCCGAAAGAAGACAAGATTGATAGATGAATTCTTGCATGTAGCGGCATTCATGACAATGGTTTGTTGTGGTGTGTCACCTCTGACCACTGCTGCCACCGATCCCCCATGTGAAATCCTGGCACACTAATTGGGACGTTGGCTAACTGAAACGGCATGCTTTGAATTCCGTGTGGTGCAACACAAATGAATTCAAGCAAGGAATACTTGGCTGTGTATCAAACAGTACACAAGCACAGCTGGTACCTCATGTGGCAACCAGAAACCTGCATGATCTAAGAAACAAGGACGAAACGAACCAGGCTCTCACCACATCCCCGTGCTCTGACGTCCCAATCTTCAAATCGTAACCTCCTGTGGACGGGCACTGCGAGAAGGCATCCTCGAAGCCTGGGGCGATGCGAACAGTGTAGCCCCAATATGTGAAGCCATCATCACCGGGAGCATGCGGTGAGACAAGCTGGGGACCAACGTGCACCACCTCAGACCCAAGGAAATGAAGCTCAGAGTTTTGCAAGCTTTGGAGTCTGGTTTGGAGATACCATTTGGATACGGGGGTGGTCTGGTGCCCAATATCACGTTGCAGGCAAAGTTTTCAAAGTCAAGGCTCCCTGGCACCACTACAGGACAGTGTGGAAAGCTCATATGTGTTGCAATTTCACCACTTGTAAGCCTTCCTGCAACACCACTGCATTCAGTATCGGGAATACGAATACACACCTGCCCTTTGAGCATCTTAACCCCATTGACCTCGCAGTAGCGAGGCTTCTGACCCATCTTCACTGTGATCCTCGTCTTTGGGGCAACCTCTGCTTTCACAAATGCTGGCTGTGGCGAGTTGAAGACACACAGCCTTCAGCACAGCAACGCATCACACAGCGGCACCAACGTCGACCATTTTGACAAGCGTATTCTTGCCCAGTGGCCACAAATTGGCATCATGTCCAGCCAGAAAATGCAGCCATTTGAGGTCCAAATGATTGTCACAAAACGAACTCATCTGTGACAAAGCAAGGTGGAACGTTCTGTACATTGACCTTACTTCGCAGCACAGGAATCACACCTACTATGGGCTGATTCTCAGAAAATCCTTTTGCGGCGAGTGCTTGCGCGCATAAGTTGTACCTGCGCCCATGCACAGCAAGGGACCCTTTTGTATTCCCCATTGCTTCATCAATGTAACCAACACCCAGGCAGATGCCTGTACTCCTCCTCCAAATGGATGTGTGAGCTGCCTATTGTTTGGTTGCCTGCATTCGCATGTGTTGTCATGCCATTGCTGTCTTTGGCACATCTGACAGATGTTCCTAATGTCACATGCCTGACTGGCCCAATACTGAGTATGCAAGCATCTACCATGTGGCTGCCTGTTCCTGTCATTATGGCTTGACACAAGGAACAAAAACTCTACGCTCCAAGGTCATACCTCAGTCGTCTTATCGTTGTGAACAACACATAGAGCTTACTTTTGCCAAGGTGGGGCAACGCAGCTCAACATGACTTGGTAACTGCATCAAAGCCGACTCCAAATTCTTTAGGCAGTGGGAATTCCCAATGAGCTCTTACAGGGCCCCTTTCTGATCGTGCTACTCACTTCAGCTTGGATTTCCTGCCACCCTTAGAGGGGCTTATCTGATATATAGAGCGGAAATTCGTGCCTTGAAAAAACCATGCCTTGGGCAGGCAGACGGTCTGCTACTCATTTCTCAATTTTTCCTTGCTGTAACAATTTTCGTACAGATCAACACTGCACAGTACAGCATCAAAGGAGCCCCATTCAGCGCCGTCACTCTGTTTAATCAGAGAGCAGCAGCACCCTGTATATTCTCCACAGCTCACATTCACCTCACTAAGACCAACTTCCACCTTTGCACCTGCGCCTCCTAAGCAGTCGAGCACAACGCCTTCCCTGTACTCCCTCCATTCTGTGGCGCGCATGTGGCTGGGGATGTCGAGGGGATGCAGGAGTCCAGCATACTTGAGATCTGGATGTACTGGAATAAGCAACCTGTTTGGGAACGAGTTCGTATCAACTTTCAGAAGCAAAAGAACTGAATCAATGCAATTGGTTTGTGAGTGTACATATCTGCTTGTCAGTCGCACTTCTTTACAACATTGCCACAGATTATTGATCTCAAGCATTTACCACACCATGATGTCGATGGAAGATTATTCAAAGAGAACTGGGTGAATGGTAGAGTCGTATTCGACCAGCCAGATCACACCGCACCTCTTCTTCCAACAAGTGAGAATGAGCAGTGAAGATGATCATGCCCATGTGCAGTGACGTCTTTCAATGCCGTTCACATGGTGGAATATATCCAAGGGTTTCCCTTGCATTACCTGAGCACAGTAATAGAGGTAGTGCTGTGCAAGTGGTGCGATCAAAGACGTAGCCACCAGCAGACTACGTGTTCAGAGTTTCCCACAGTGCGAGCTGCCAGTACCCAATCATTCTGTCTGTACAAGTCCATGCAACAGGGGTGCAAAGAGGGTGCATTACCATCAGGATTCAACTGCACCGATGGGCTATGCACTGTAAGCTTTGGCCCATCCTTGTGACAGATTCCATGTTGTTTCTTGTAAATCAATGTCAAGCAGGCAACGAACACTGTACCCAGCTCAGTATATGACAACAAAAGGATTTGGTGTCTGTCTTGCTCTGCAATCATACGTGCCCTCTAAGACATGCAGCCCATCTGTCAGGCAGGTGACGCCATGGACACCCATTTGTGGAGCCTAAGTGAGCGATGACAGCAAGCTCCCTGATTGTATTCTTACTTGCGCAGGTATTGTGGAGTCTCTTGATATTGTAGCAGCCGGGCTAGAAAGGCAGCCCCATAGCCAACTCGCCCTGTACATTGCCCACAGCACAGATTCAGCACACTTGTGCATATGTTTGGAAGGTTAAATGACAGTGCAAGGGCACAGCTGAGGCAGTGAATCACAATCACATGCAGTGTGGGTGGTTTACGAAATTCACTTCTTGCAGTACGTGCCTCAATTGTCTCAAGACTCGTTTTGTGCTCACATGCAGGATGGCAGAGGCCATAGAATACAATGTAAACTGTGCTGAGAGACCCTTCAATTGTCTAGCATTTCCCATTGCTGGAGTGCTGAAGGGAAAATGGAGCAAGATGAGCCACTGGGGTGGGTGAGACGTTTGAAAGATGTTTGTTTGGCGTACCCTGTTGAGAGCTTCCACTGTCATCGACAACCACCACTTCATTGACGTTGAAGACAGCTGCGGCCCTTGCTATCTGACCTGCAACCTGCAAATACTCATGTGCACCTCAACAGGCCACACGGCGGGCATTTGTAGTTGCCTTGCACACCAATATAGCGACGGGCTGCACATAGCAATTGCAGAGATCATCGGGAGCAAGAGTTGAATGCCCATGGAGAGCAAGAAGAGCAAGTTAGAATTGCAAATTCGTGTCACCTCGAAGTTTTCTGTTTAGACGTTCTTTCGAGGTCATTTAGGAGGCATGAAAGGCTGCCATGGTTGTCAATGCACCTCGGCCTTCATCTTCCTCACCATTGTCGCTTGCTCCACGCTCTGCGTATTGTCGATGACCGACCCGGGCACCGCTATGCTGAGGGTGGGCTGTCCACCATCCATGCCCATTGCCTTTCAAGCGCCCCTTCAACCTCACAGCTCACGATGCATGAGGCAGCGGCACGGTGCGGGGAACAAGATGCAGCGTCGGCGGCGAAGCACATGGGCGTGTACGGACACGCAGGGTTTGGGTATGCCGACAATGCACAGCTGACACGAGGTTGGGTGGGGGTAGCTAGCTACCACAGGCGGCGAGTGGATTGCTCATGCTTGACTGGACGTGGCACCGCAAGCTTGCACCCCCTGGATGTCGTCCTGCTCCACGCGACAACTCTGGAAGTATCTCTAGGTGCCTCTGGGCTTACTTTCGGAGCAATGCTCACGAAGGATTTGCGCCAGCACTTTCAACAGGAAATTTTATCCCAACAGAACATCATACAACTTTAGGACATGAAGACCCAACGGCAGGGAATTGTCAGGCAAGTTTGTCATGCGACAATAGTTAGGGAAGGCACCATGTCCAAAGTGCTACGCTTACCGTCAATTTGACGCTAAGGGAGAGGGGGGGGGGGCCTGGACCTGTGACGCTAAGAGATTATGTAATTGGCACAGTTTCGACATAAGGTCTGAAGATATACAAAGCGCCGTTGATCCAAGGCAGACCGCTCGTGACTTGTTTCAATCCCCCCAGTAAACGCTCAAACTGAAATGAAGACCCCAGGATACCCCAAATAGACAGCCATCGGGGCTGCCCCAGTCAACTGAAATGGCATTTATCAGCATGTTTTTCAGCGCAGTACAATCGCTACAATTTTGGCAGTTCAATTTCCTTGAAAACACCTTGAAATTATCTAACTGTGTTATGTAAGGTTGCTGAGCCATCCTGGCATCGACATAAGGATTGACGCTAAGGGTACCCAAACCAACGTAGCGTCTTACCATAGAGCCAGGAATGCAGATGCGATGCACCACTTCCTGATGGTATGTTTGCGCGTTCACGGGAACATTGATGCAACCAAGAGCCACGACAAACAATGTCCGGAACCTGATAGCAGCAGCAGGACGAGGCAATGGCGTCAACGCACAGTTATCAGCCACAGTGTATTTGCCCAAGCACAACTTTGTTTTGCACATATCTTTGTTTGAAAACACGGCGCCGTGTTCCCATTTGCCCCCTGCCCACATATCTAATTTCTAAGCAGCCCATATCTGTCTCAGTTGTAAGATTGCATCTTATGTCGGATCGCGTATTACTCGATGCAATAAGATGCGGTAGAGGAAAAGTGCACTGCGACGCGAGGATTCTCGACATACTCGGTAAGACACGGAAGTACAGAGCTACGAAAGGACGCCATTTTAAAATTGTGCAAGAATGTTCTGTTCCATGAGCAACGAGCACCGTTCAACACATGGCAATTTGGAGAATTTTTCTCCTTGTAGGAAATCCCGGTCCTGACCTTGCAAGGAAGAATTGTCAATGCCATCACAACTGGCAGCACTTGCCCTCTGTACACAGCTGTCTTCCTCTTGCATTTTTCATGGCTAGGTGGTGCATGATTCGGTAGCATGAAGTCTGCCGATCTGTTCTATGCACATCGGGCCGTACAAGTGGAACATAAGAGCGCACTTTTGAAACATACGCCACCGTGCCAATTTCTGTGTCTTCAACAAAGTTTTGTGTGCGCCTGCGTGCGCGAAGCGGCGAGTATTACAAGTTGTGCAACACGACAGTTGCGTTTATCATTCAGTCATTGAGTTGTGTCACCAGCTCTTAAAAGTCGCTGGCTTCGAACAGATTGAGTTTTTGGCAATGGAAAACGCCATCAGCCTTAAACTGTGTTCGCAGCCACTTGGTAACAAAACTAAACTGTGCAAATTATCAACCAGCTGCTGCAAACCTGGGCAGTCACAACCAGAATGCCTCCACCATATTCAGGAGACATCTTCCTTTTCAGGCGGCACATGCGCTCTGTTGTCATGAATCCTTTTCTGTCTCCGTACAAGTGACAAACTGTTTGTGCCCCTTTCGTCTTCTTGCATTGAAAAAACATTTCGCACCATGTTCAAAGGGTGAATGTTTGCTCAAGCGCAATTTTTTATGATGAGAACCAAAATCTAAGTCCAATGCACGCAATGCATTGGTGTTCATAATATGCTTGGCGAGCACAGGAACGTGCTGGCATGCCCGTGTTTATACATGCCAATCGAACATGTTCCATAAAATCAAATGCAGTGTACCGCATCGGGGAATTCCCATGGCAGCAAGGCCAAGACTACGCATTTCTTCATGCGACCAGATTGTCATTGGTTTTCTCACCATGCAAATTTGCACTTCAGCGAGCGTCGGATACTTCAATACATTGCTGCTCACTTGCAATACATCGCGGCCCAGTCATGATACGGTAAAATCCTTGTCCATGAATCTGACCACAGTTCTCCAATGCCTTTTCACTAAATCACGGTTCCATGTACGATCACTTTACGACCCGGTGGATTTCCTATTCTATGAGCAAAGTCGCCCATCAATCTTGGCATTCATCAGCGATAATTTATCTGGTTTAAAACCAGACAAAAATAAACTTGTGAGCCAGCGCGACACCGCTGCTAAGGAAGACGAAAAATCGTAATTCGTTCAATTGGGACAATAGAATACGACAGTGGATGATAATATCTTGGCCCATGTTCGGTACCCTGCAATATTCAATTGGTACTCTGGTTGTGCGCACTCACCCAAGTGACAAGAAAAGGCGGCTTCTGATCTTGAAAAGACAGAGCCACGAGCCTAAAACTTGCATTGCCCCAAGGCAGGCTTCTGTGCCGTGATACGGACACGCATACGATATGCAAATGGTCCTTCAGATGTAACCCATGCCATCAAAGCCACCGGATAAATGGTGCAAAGGCCACTATTCTTCCCATTATCTCGAATACGCCTTTAACTACAAAGAGCTCCTATGGGCATCATTTGCCAGCCCGTTTCCCTGCTCTCCCGCACTTGCCAGTTTAATTTCTTAAAGTACCAGCTCGCTTCAAGGCACAGTGGACCTGTACAGAACGGTATTGTTTCTGGCCAAGTCGGACACGTGAAAGGAGCGGGAGCGAGGAAAACAGAAGAAAGCGGCAATCGCTATTGACACTTCAGAGTAAATTGTTGAATACGCAGACTGGGGGGGGTGGATGGCCACATCACGTCTAAGCATGGCCAAGTGCGCTGTGTGCGCACTCAGCCGGCGCTCTTGCGGGGATATGCAAGATGGGGAAGGTGCAGAGGCACGGAGATTGGTGCTGCACCGAGATTGGGTTGGACAACTGGGGCGCAAAACATTGCCAAGAGTTATTCAGTTGAGGCCAGTACGGCAAGAACACGGTCCTGTCGACAATCTGTGCTCCCAAGGCTGATTGACCGTGGGTTTGGCACCCGCCACTTGGCACTGATTTCAAATATGACAAACATACGTCACCTGTAGAATACACTGTTTTGGTGAGACCACTCATGGCGATGCCATGTGACATTAACGGATGGCATCCCGGTTGCTTTGATGCCATCGCAATCACTGTGACGGTGGCACTCAGTGTCACAATGGCACCGCAGTTGGCATCACCAAAATGGTGTTTTCTGACAGTGTATGCTGTGCGGGACTGAGGAGGTTCTGCTCCTGTCATGACCAACTTTCGGCCCCAGAGTCCCAGGGGATAACACCATCCTCCCCCAATGTTGATATGCTTGTCCTTCATTCCCAATCCACATTGTTGAATGCATTTCTCTGAAGTGCAAGACGCTTTTGCATGCACCGCTCCGAGCCGACCTTGGTAGAGGTTCCCAATGTTGGGCTTGGGCATCAATTCCAGTCTGTGGGCAAAGCTGAGGTCTGCATGTACCACCAACACACCTGCCCTATACGTGGTGCTGCTTCGCCCTCCGCACCAAGTTCCAGGCTGCCTCCCCCGGCCCAATCCCCCAGTTCCCACCAAGCCGCAGTTCCGCCTCCCTTGGTGCAAACCTCCCAACAGGTAGCCCTTCCAGCCGGCGGCCAATATCAGCGCCAGCCCCACCCGCTCGGGGTGCCAGCCCTGTTGGAAATCGACCTTTGCTCGGCGTCTCGTGACAGCCGCCCGGGCTCGAGCGGCCCCCAAGATTTGGAAGGCGCGATGCCCAAGAAGGGAAGACGGCAGCGCAAGGGCAGGGGCGGGCAGAAGGGCGGGGGGTCGCGCAGCAGGCCGCCTGCCAAGGCCCGCGCCAGGACCGACGACCGTCAAGCGCAGAATCAACAGGTGGGACCGGGGGGCCGCAATCCCCTTCTGCATGATGCCGTCATTGTCTGCCCCGCAGCCCGTCGCGGCCGGGGCGCCCTTGCGGCGCAGCCCTCTGCGCATTGCAGCTGCGTCTTGCGCTCCACCGGGCATGCAGTCGCAGATTCCTTTTTCCGCTTGCCGTGCTCGCGACGCGGAGACTCGAACTATCGCGCGACGAGGGTTTGTTGCGCAGGCCGTCGATGTCGGCCCGGAGGCGGCGTCGACGGCGGCGGGCTCCAGGAAGGAGGGGCCGAGGGTCGGCGGGCCGTCCGGCGCAAAGGTTGCCGGCCTGTGCAACCTGGGCAACACATGCTTCCTCAACAGCGCCCTGCAGGTCCTCAAGGCGTGCCCATCGCTGCAGCGGTACTACGCCACGTGCGGGGAGGCGACCAGAGACAAGCCCCTTACCTGCGTCCTCGGGGACTGGTTTAGGTTCGGCGGAGATGGTGGGTGCCCAAGCAACCCACCTACCCACCCACATACCACCATAATATCCCCAGAAGGAATGCGGCTAATGGCGCGTCGGGCCGGCAAGCTCGTGGGACTGGCCCCGCGGGCCTTTGTGCCTCAGAGAACCTTCGCGCATGGCTTTGTCCCGTTTGCAGAAGTTGTCGTGATAGTCATCTGCTGCCTCGTTGGATTGCTGCTGGCCTGAGTATTGGATTGATTCGTGGCGTCCTGGGTTGTGCTCGGTTGTCCTGGGCCGCTGGCCTCAGAAATTGGGTGGCTTCTGTCCCGACCGCAGGCAAGAAGGGCGGTGGAACATACAAACCCTCCAATCTGGTGCAGGAAATCCGCAGGCTGGCTCCGCACTTCAAGGTGGGGACCCTGGGGCAAGAGCATGTGAGAACTCCTTTGGATGGCGACACCTGGTTGCTACACCAGGCTGCCTTGGAATTCGACGTCACACCCCAGTTGAACCCAACACTCGAGGTCTCCATTCTCAAACTTTGTTGTACATACGTTTTTCTTCTTGTTCTCGTTATTTTGGCAATGTGCTCCTTGTCATGTTGCCTGCAGGGTCGACAACAACATGACAGCCATGAACTGCTGCGCTATGTACTGGACATGCTGCGGGTGCGTATCTGGCAATGCCTTTTCCCAGGCCATGTGGGGTCCTGTGTCTTTTGCCTTCTGAGATGCTCGACTTGGCACTGTGGAATGCTCTTCATGTGGCTGCCAGCGATTTACCAGCATGTATGACCAAGTTGTTGAATTGCCTTTTGGTCCTTCTGGTAGGTAAATTGGTCAAAATCTGCTCTTTCGACACTATTGGCAACTGCATTTAAACAGTCAGCAACACTTTATATGCTGATTTCAATTGTTTAGAGCAGTGTGCTCAACTTGAAAGAAAAGCCCTGTTCAACCTGTTGCTGCCAGGAGAAAGACAGTGAATGGGAGCCAGTGGGCTTGATGTTCGTCAATAGGATTGCAAGTCGCCATCAACCCCCGGACAGAATTTTGCAATACTAAGGCTGTTGCTCTCCTTTACTGCAGAATGAAGGGAAGAGCTTGGACGGGGAAGGGAAAGGTCAGAAGATGGAGAATGGAACTGAGCGTGTGGAGCAGGAGAACCTTGTTGGATGCATATTTGGAGGCACTTTTGCGTCGTCCATATCATGCATGCACTGTGGTCACAAATCAGTAAGTCGACGAATTCATGGATCAGTTGTCAGAGATGTGGGTTTTCTCGTTGCCGGTTGATCAGAACAAAGTCCAATATGTTAATCAGCCAATTTGCAACTGCAGCCACGTGAATCCTGCTAGCCTTGGTATCATGGTGTTCAAGTGATATAATGTGCTACAAGGTCAGGAATGCTCTTTGTCTGGCCTACGTGTGTTGCCGAGGTTGCTGAATATACTTAGGTTCTGTTTTACTTTATTCATTGTGCTGGGTAGTTTGTTTATGTTGTTTGTTATCTGTCCATTGCTTATGGATATGTTCTTGTTCTCTGAGCAGCCTCAAAATTGTTTGACACAGCAAATCGTGTGGTTCCAACAGCCGGGCAACAAGACTGGCAATGGCACACCACTCTGTTGAAGGGGTGCAGATTTGTTGACTGCAGATGAATCCACAGAGAAAATCTAGATGAATCCACAGAGAATTCTCCTAAGAGATGCAACAGTTTGAGCGATTTGCAAGTACTCGACAGGAGTACCAGAAGCAAAGCTGGCTAATTGTGACGTGACTTTCATGCGACCTGCTGATCACGATTCCTGTTCCCTAGAAACATGTGCGCTCCTTTGCCTCGATTTCGAATCTGGCTGTGTTTACGCACAATCCAGGAACAAAATGAGGAATTTCTCGATCTATCCGTGCCAGTCGTCCAAGATGCATGCAGCACTGGTGGTGGCATGCTGAGCCCAAGCCAGGAAGAGAAAGAGAACAGGCACAGCCGATGCTGGATGACAGCTAAGGTGTGAATGGGCAATTATCATCACAGGTTGTTTTGCTGCAACTGCTGCTTTTGGCTTTCCTTGTTGTAGTTTGAAATTTGGTACACACTCGTGCTCGGCAAGTAGCCATTTACGTTCCAGTGCTGTGTGGTGCATTGATGCAAGCAACAATAGATACAGGGGCTAGAGTGCCCTTTTGGCCAACCACATGCCAACGAATTAAGGCGGCTGGGACATTTCTCATCGGCTTCTGCAAAGAAGTTCTCTGAAGAGTCGTGTGCTATCATGTCACAAACATTCGAGCAGACTTTGTAAAATTTTTATTGCAGAAATGACCTCAATCTCTTTGCACGCATCAGGAACGTCAACGGCTCAAAAAGGAACTGTACAAGAAAGAACGAATGCAGCAAAAAGAGAAAGGGGAATGCATGGACATGGCTCTGCAAAATGGTGGCAATTGCAGCAATGCAGCAGCGCCACCTTTGCTGGATAGTGAATCAGCCATCAACAACAACCTCTCAGCAGAGCATCAGCCTTCATCGTCAGGGGCAGACGGGGTGCAGTCTTGCCATGGAGACTTGTCTACAGCTGCCAGCACAGCTGGTGAGCCGGACGCAAACAGTTCCTCATCTGCAGCATCGATGGGCAAAGCGGAATGTAAGGCCAACGTTTCCAGCAAAGCAGCAACTTTGGAGCGATGTCTTGAGAAGTTTTTTGAAGAGGAGCAAGTATTTTGGGAGTGTCCAAGGGAGGCTGAAGAGAGGCAAAAGCACACCAGCAGCAAGCGTGTCAGGTTTTCGGAGTCGGAGCCAGTCGTGTTTGAGGTTCCTGCTTCCGATGGGTGCCGGGGCTGTGATTTCCTAAATGGAATGACGCTGCATGAACTGGTGAGCTCTGGTTTGTTGTGAAGACAGCACGTCAGGTTTTCATGCATATTGGATTGTAACTTTCAGCCTTGTGCATCTCCTGATTTATGTGTTCGTTGAGGCAGATGTCGAAGGCCAATGACAACGACTCTTCTGATGAGAGCTCTGAAGGGGTAGAGGACGAGGAGGGAGAAGATGCCATAGAAGATGGGGCGAGGGAGACAAAGGAAAAGGTAGGTGATGGAGATGAGGAGGGGGAGAAAAAGGTAGAAGACAGGCTGGAGGCAAAAGAGGAATGCACACAGGAAGGGGCCAAAGAAAATGGTGAGGAGGCAGAACTTGTGGAAGAGAAAGGGGAACAGGACACTGAGGTTGGGACAGCGGGTGAGACAGACGAAAAAGAAGGCGAGGGCATCATTTGCAGCGACTGCGAGAGTGTGGGCTCTGTGGAAATTTGCTCTTCTTCTGAAGAAGATACTCTCCAATCTGAGAGCTCGGGATCCTGCTCCCCAGAGCAGACTTACACTTGGTCCAAAGTGTGGACATCGTCTTTGAGGTCCTGCTTGAGGAAGCAAGTGGAGATGAAGGAGGCACACAAGAAATACAGCATCCAGACTGCACCCAGGGTGCTTACCATCCATCTCAAGCGTTTTGACAGGAACCAATATGGCAAATTGGTCAAAGTCAAGACACATGTTAGATTTGGAATGGAAATTGAGATGGGACCATTCTGTGAGCCCTCTGGTGGTAGTTTCAGGTGAGAGACTGCATGGTGTTGATGGATGTTTGTGTCCTCGAATGTGCTGTCAATTTGTCTGTCAGCTCTTGCCATGGAAGTTGACACCCACAGGATGCTTGCATACTTTATTGCACTTTAATTACACAAGACACTTGCGCAATCCAGTATGTACTGTTTCCCTTTCCAAATTTCGGAATCCTGGTGCGACTGAAGAGCTTTCGAACTTGCAAAATGCTGTTCCGTTTGAGTGCAGCCCACAATGCCACAATGTTTTGGATTGTTGTAGAGTATGCCATGCCATCGATTCCTGTTAATGTTTCCAAGCATTTCTGTGACCATTTGTCACACCATACTTCTGAGACTTATTCTTGATGCTCCTTTCTTTGAACCTGAAGATTTCAGACTTCGGTCCCTGTTCAGAAATGAAACAGGCAGTCTCGCGCTTCCTTCATCGGCAGCATGGCTAAGATTGGTGGATTTGACGCATGCTTTGTGCCAGAGTGGCTCGACTACGTTGCTTGTCAGGATCAGTTTGCTTATCGCACTTTTCCCTCCTATGGCCCTTACGGCTGTGTGCTGACTGCACTCTTTGTGGGTGGCTGTCAATTTCTGCTGCTGTAAGGAGCCAATAATCTCACATGCATTCAGGCGAACATGGCATCCGGTTCTCATGCTGTGTGTCCATGCATGTGCACCAGGTATCAACTGTTCGGTCTAATAGAGCACAGAGGCGGCATGAGGGGCGGCCACTACGTGGCTTATGTAAAGAGGACATTCCCTGAAGACGACGATGGCAGTTTGGCACAGGATCGGTGGTTCTTTGTGAGCGACCAAGTTGTGAGGGAGGTGGACGAGAGGGAGGTTGCGGCGAGGGAGGCGTACCTTCTGTTGTACGAGCGCGTTTGAGAGGATCATTGCTCTTTTTGTAGATTCTACCAATAAGGATATTGTGTTGCAGAAGACAATTCATGTGTATGTTTACTTTTTTGCGGAGTTTGGCAAATTTTCAGTACTCGCCCTTGGGAATCCCAGGTGTACATCGCTTTGATCAAGACTTCTGCTGGCCGCCTTGCTGTGATCAATACCATGCACGACACAACCACCGCACTGCACACGTATGTTTTGGTCTCTTTAAGTTACCTGCCAACACAGCTGGTGGCTTTGTACCTTCTATCGTAGAACACGTTGACAGTGCATCCGTGCCCAGATGCCTTTCGTTGCTCATTGGCGAACTCTAGTCTCCAAGGCCCAAGCCGAATAAAGGAGGTGGAAACCCCTTCTCCAGCCGCCACCCTGCCTTGGAGTTCAGGGTTAGAGCATTGCAGCGAGATTTTGCTGGCATGCATGACTGCGTGGAGATGACGACTGAAGCACACCAAAGGGCATCGATGTGGCAGCGAAGTGATCAAGCCCCTGAGGGAAATGATGGACATCATAGCAAAGCGGCTCCTGATCAGCAGATCTAGTGAGAATCGGTTATGTCATCATTGAAGCATTTTGCTGCAGCAACAATTTGGGTTGCAGTGCTGCTCTCCCCACTTGGCACATTGCATTGGACTTAACTGCATTTGCCCATAAACCATCACAGCCCACCCACGTGTGGATGGTGGACAACAACGTTTGGTGGCATGGTACTGAAGGGAGTGGACTGCCCTCTTCCTTGCCCCTGGCTGGGTGATTTGGTAGAGCAATGGGACATCCCATCAGAGGCACCTGGTCCAATTTCTGGTTCGGTCATCCTCTTTGTTATTGTAACCATAACTAATTGAGTATTGTTAACTATGCATACAGAGGTGATGAGAAAGTAGGAACTGAATTAAGGACACTGATAAACGGATCGGATATTGCTCAATTCCATAATGATAGCTGGTATCACAATTACTTTATACGGTGTGGAATCAATGTAAATGGCTGAATGTCCCCATCATTGGAATGCATAATGGTATCATCCCGCTAGTGAGAGATGCAGCCAGACTGGACTGGCCCATGCAATGTGCTGCCCCGCTCCCATCACCTGCAGCCGAAGTGCATCGTGAAAGTGAGAGCAGCCATCGGTGTGAAGAAGTTTGGGTGGGCACGGGCATTGGCGGACCCCTTGCGAACATGGCGAGAGCACAAGAGAGTGACGGGACAGCTTGGGGATTTAGGCCAGAGGCTAGGAGCGGCTGCATGGGAACCTAACGGGATTGAGTGCACAAGAGTCAGAAGGCTGCGGTAGTGAAATTGGCATGGCAAAGTAGTCTGGAATTGTGTTGTGAATCCTTCTGCACATTGTGACCGAGTGCGCGAGAGGTGAGCAAGTGCTGCGTGGTGATCCGGTGTCATGGCGAGCAAAAGGGATGAAGTGTCCACACAGATGTGGGGTGGCGAAGAGGATGTAGTGCAACTCTATGCAATGCTGGAGAACCACGTGGATGTCCTCGAGGCATAGGTCGCTGCTCTGATAGCAACAAGCAGGCTGATGGTGGGATCGGTCGCCGCCATGGGGGCTGATGCAGCTGGATCCACAGCCAAGAAATTTCTGGTCAATGTGGCTGCCCCGTTGCCAGGATCATTGGCACCGCAGGTAGGAATGGCGGGCAAGAGGGTGTCCGCGGCGGGGGGACCTAGGGAGGAAGCAGGCGGTGCACGGGGGCTCCGACTAGGGAAGATTGTTGGAGACCTCTAGGTTGTACGGCAGGCAGAACGGATGGGTCTGACATGGGCCGTTAAGGGCCCTAATGTTTGGGTAGATGGGATAGGATTGGGGCCTGAGCCCATGGTTCAGCGGGAGCGCTTTAGGTGCACAAATGCTGGAATAATAAACAAGTCTTATTTTCTGTGGGAATTCAAGCGGGCGTGTACTTTTGGCTGGATATATAAAAAAATGTGGGCTAGGATCAGAGGTAGGGAAGATCTACTAGATGCTTGAGTTAGGGAGCCAACGGGGGAGGAAAAGGAAAGGGTGTCTTACTATAGGATTTAATATCAGTAGGAGTGTAGTAAGGAAAGAATGGATGGGTGAAATATATAGGGAAGATGTGATAGATAACCGGGTGTGAGGGGCTGGTCAATAACGCCTGAAAATATAATGGCTAAGTTGTTGAGAAGGGGTTTAATGAGTTGCTGCATGGGGAGATATGTATTAACGGGCTGGGAGGATATGCAAATGGTAGAACGTGTGTGAGTGCTCTGGTAAAAAAGTAATACAAGGAGGGAAAGTGTGAAGACAAGTTGTGTAATATTACAGACGAATAGTCAAGTAAGGGAAGCCGTTGGGCAAAGGGCTATAGTGTAATGGGTAACAGGGGACTTTGAAAAGTGATATAGGTGTAGCAATGGGAATGAAGGGTGCTACATTAGAAACTTCATAGTGTGATGAACATGAGGCGATAGCAAATGCCCATATTGTAATGAGGGACTGGTTTAGGAATAAAGACTAGCTAGAACAATCAGTTGCTTGTCTTGGCAAGCACACCACCCCACAACGATCAGGCAAAAGGATTAGAGTTGATGCCGGTGGCACCACTTACATTGAATGGTAATACATTCAAACATTTGTACATTAATACCTATACATTATATATTTTATTACACATGGTTATACGTTAATTTGCAAGTTAAGTGCACATGGAGCACACTCTATAATATTTCTCTCGTTGGTTTTCACAGTCTCTCGTATGCAGCCCCTGTGTGGTCCTTGCTAGGACACACATCAAGTGGTTTTGGAGCCCGGGGACCACAATATGCATCGATATCATATTGATATCCATAATAGATTGACAATTGGTACCTATGGACGCAGAGGACACTGTAGCTACACCAGCGGTGGAGGAACCGGGGCCGTCCGGAGGGGGGTCAAGGGTGGAACGGCCATGGACAGCCATGATCATGTCGCCCTACCTCAGTGTGAGCATTTGAGCATGCAACATCACGCCATTCGCTCCTCAACTTCGCGAACATCACCCAGAGAGTCGATGCACAAAGTTTAGATTGCTGGCATAGCTTAATGGAGAATTAGATGGAGGACACGGTGGGTGGCATCCACGTGGAGGTCAGCAGAGAATTGAAAGGATGTTGCAAGGAGCAAACGCCGAGCGAGCTGCTTTGCGTGGCGAGTTGCTACATGCATTGGGAGTGCAATGAGTGGAATTGGACCATGTGAATGTATGTGTTGGTGAGCTAGAGGCCAACACACAAACCGATTGAGAAATGGCCAGAAATGTGCACCAGTGGAAGTTTGGGTAGCACAGCAAGGCGCATATGAACACGTAGCATCAAGTCGAGGAGATGGAGTGCCATCTGCTCGAGCAGATCAAGGAGTTGCACGTTGGGATGCAAACTCATGTCAAGCCATTAGAACAGCAGAGGTGGTGCCAAATGCCATAAAATCTAGATAGGAACGAGTCGAGAATGAGTTGCATGCTCATCTTATGTGGCAATTGCTGTCAAGAGAAAATAGGTTGCTACAAATGCCCTGCGTACACCTGCTGTTCAGGACCAAATGGAGACAAAGCCTATAGCCTCTCGACCTTCTGCTGTGCCGTATGAGGCTGTGGCTACACTATTCTTAGTCCTGGCCTTCCCATTGTAAAGGGCTGGGCAAGTGCCTGTGCTGCCTGAGGTGCCTGCGGAATTGGCACTCTTGAAACAGCTTGTACAGGTTGTATTCCCTCATGGGGGATCTTCTTGCCCGTCCTCTGGACTGCCAGCCACTCTACGGTTGCTTGTTGAATATCTGACACGTTGATTTCCAATGCCTTCTGCTGTGCCTTAAAGAGAGGACGCAACCGTACCGGTATTATGTGGAGTGCATTCAGGGGAGCGGACGCCCTATAAGGTGCCTTTTCTCTGACCGGGTGGTAGTATCCCTTGTAGTATACACCCTCGTATCGGTCATGAAAGGCCCCCAGGGTGTCCCAACACCCATGGATGTCCTGCATGGCTGGCATGTGCACCTTTGGGGTAGGACTTGCTTGCGTCCTACGGATCTCCTGCACCCGTTAAGGGGCTCTCCGCTGCTATTGCTGAAAAGTAGGGTCAGGTTTACCCATTGTATATTTGATCTCCTAGGTTTCCTGACCTGCTCTGCTCTCCCCTTGATGGGGGACTTGGGCTTGCTGGCGGGTATGCTGAGATTCCTTGAACTTTAGGAATTCGGCATACTTTCCTTGCCCATTGCTGCTAGCAGTTGGGCTGTCTTGTCAGCCTCTGCCCTTGCCTTTTCCATGGCTGCTTTTTCCAACGCTTCCTCTTGCCACTTTACGACAGCATACATCTCTTTCCTCTCTTGAGGAATGGGATTGGCTGGAGAGCCTATTGATCCAACATACACAACTTCATCATGTCCAATAGAATCTCCCACATCCGCTTGCTTGTGGATATATAAAATACGAACAGGCTTCAGTGAAGCTGCACCAGGGACATTATCTGGAATTTTCTTCGATGCCATTTTAGGTTGCTTTACCTTCTCAGGCTGCTTTGCCTTCTCAGGCTATTGCGGTTTGGCAAATCGAGCAAGATGGTTTACTCTGCTGTCCTCACTGCTCGGCTCATCTACCCATGGGGTTGCTTTCTGAGTCGACTCCACTCCACTAGAGGTGGCCACTCAAAGATGCCATCCGGTCCGTTAAATTTTATTCGTTAATTTTTATCAGCTGTCCGTTAAATTTAGTTAAAGAAAAAGGGAGAAAAATTCAGAAAAAACAAAAAAAATCCAAAAAAAATCCAAAAAAATCGAAAAAAACCCAAAAAATCACAACAACTGCGGCTAGTTGAAAATCTAGTATGCATAGGTTGAAATAAAATACAAACATACTCTCTAATAGCGAATTCCATAAACTATAAGTATGACTAAAATTCAAAAATCCCCAAAAAATCCAAAAATCCGTTAATTTTTGGTTAATTTTTGTATTTTTTCGTTATTT